ATAGTTATTGTTTTCACCAAATGTAGAAAATGTCCATCATTATTTTTTAAGTATTCTTCTGTCAATATTTTCTCTTCTTGGCCTTCTGTTACTTGTGTAACAGACCACTTCAGCTGTCTCACAGCAGCTAATGGTCTAGTCACTTTTTTTAGTTTTTTTATTCTCTGTGTTTCATTTTTAAGTTACTATTGCTCTGATTCCAAGTTTACTAACCTTTTCTTCTGCAGAGTCCAGTTATTTAATTCCACCTAAATGTATTAGGTACACTCCTGTTCAATGTAGTCTTCATTTCTAGATCTTAGATTTTGCCTTTTTTAAAAATCTTCCATATCTCTAAAGTAATCTATGCCTCAAATGACATGAATGAGTTTTTATCTATCTTCTTGACTCTATGGGATATAGTCATAATAACTTTTTAATGCCTTGTCTAGTAATTCTATCAGTCATTTATGTGTCTGTTGTGTGTGTGCGTGCGTGTGCTAGTATTATACCTCCAGTGGTTTTTATGTCTGTTTTTTAAACTTCTTTTTTTTCAGCTTTATTGATATATGATTAACAAATAAAATTGTATCCATTTAGGTTGCACAATGTGACTTCTTTATACGTGTACAATGTGTTGATTTTATTTTCAGCCTTGTGTGAGCTCTAAAAATCATTTCTTTCAATCCTCTTAAATGATTCTTTCCTAGGACTCAGTTAGTTTCCTCATATACTTGCACTAATCAGTACTCAGTTGAAGATTCAACAGCCATCCCCTTAGATCTCCAGAACTCTTCTTCTCTGTAGCTTTCTCCTCTTCAGTATTTTGTTTTTGAAAACTAGCTGCCTTGTTCTCCCTGGATTCTCAACTCCATCCCCTAAACTAATACCGATTCCACACAAGTTCCTCTCTCTATTGCATTACCTAAAAACTTACTCAAGGAAGTAAGCTGGGAAAATTATGGGGCCCAATTAATTTGCTTCTCATTTCTCAGGGCTCATTGCCCTATGTTGCTTGATGTCTGATACCTTAAAATCAGTTTTTCATATTTTCTCTATTTTGTTTTATTGTTACAGGAAGAAAGGTAAATCTGGTCCTTGTTACTTCATGTTGTTCAGAAGCAGACATCTAAATCCTTACCACTTTGATGTTCTACCCCCAGAAACGGGAAAAGCACAATTCCAGGGTGCATATCTATGGAGTAAAGCTGGAAAAACAACAAACAGTTATATTGGGGTATTTTTTGCTTAATCCCTAAGTACTGCCATAGTGATAGGCTTAGACTTGTAATACACTAACAGGTGTTGCTCAATACATTTGAGATCACAGGTAAATTCAAACTACCTGAAGCTAGAGTCTAGCCATGAAAAAGGGATCAAAAACTGTATCAAAGGGATAAGTCCATCATCCCTATTTCATAGGAGAGGATATTGGATATGGATGTTTAAGAAATTGACTAAAATCACTCAGCTTATACAGAACATCCAAATTGCAATTCTTCACTCCAGATCACAAGTGTACTGTTTTTCCCCTATATCATAGCTCTGACCATTCACAGGAAAACATAGGCAATCACTTTATAGACATTTGTCCTAAACTTCTCCCTAGAGTACATCATCCACATCTAGGGCTCAGTTTTCTTCTCTGGACTTTGCAATGTATTGCTTTAGTCCTGACTTCTCTTCTTGACTTCCCTAATCTCTTCACCCAGAAGTCTGGCCATCACTACATAGTCAACCAGTCAACCAGCTGACTGCCTTATTTTCATGAAGTGATCATCTTTAAGCCTCTCCTCTCATCTAACCAATGGTTGCATCAGACTTCTTTACTTAGATCCATGGAGTCATCTTTGGTGACTATCTATCTGAGAAATCCTCCAATCCAGTCCTACAACCCTATAATTCCTATATTCATCCTGTCTTTCCCGTCCCATTGTTTCACTAGTCTTCATTGTCTCCATGGGTGCTGTTGCAATGGGCTTCTAACTCATTCTTAATCAATCCTTCACACTGTCACAAAACCAGTCTTTCTAACCAAACGTTTAATATGATTATGTCAGACAAGTGGGAGAAAATCTGCACTGACTTTCCATTTTCTACCAAGACCAATATACAAGATTATTGAAAATCTGCCCTCATTAAACCATTTCACCTTCATCTCTTAAATGAATGGCAACAGTCTTGAAATAATCTCTCTAAGCCCTTGCCTTTGATAACAAAAATTGAGGCAACTGGGTATGGGTTTGGGATTTATTTTCTCATTTGGTTGTTGCAAACAACCTCATGATACAGGCATTGCTGTGTCCATTTTCCAAATGAAGTAACCAAAGCACAGAGAGGTCATACTCAGTTTTCCTAGGTCACGTAGCTAGGAAGTAGAAAAGTAGGAATTCAATCCTGAGTTCTTTGGTTGTAAAGACCATGGTTTTCCATAATACCACCTCACTACTCCTGTGGCAGCAGTTACTATATTGATAGGTATTGATGTTTTAAGTGAGAAATAGAATTTTTTCCACAAGTTTTTACCTCTTCAACAGGAGTATGTAGATCTTTAGGTAGAATAATATGCTTCTTGATGTTCATTGAGAATCAGGTTATCATATACCTTATTTTATTGTGCTAATGAGGATTCAATGGAAAGGATGATGAACAGGATTTTTTGAGTTATTATCCATTCCCATTCACATCTCTCCTTCCTTTGTTCACACACCTTTTTATTTGCTATGATATGCCCCTTCATCTTCAATGGGGCAATGCCCCATATTGCATCTGCAATTCAGTGTAGTCTATGTGTTAACATTAAAAAGTATTGATTATTTTATATGGAATCTACCAATCTCTCCTTTTCATTGTGAAATGGAAATAAAAGAGAATGCTAACACTACCATGCTATTTAATGTATTAAAATAATATATGAAATATAGAAATACCCAATCATAGGCAATAAAAGAATAAGAGATCCCTGGTAATCAGGTATGTGTGCTACTGAAGTTGATTCAAATCAGGCAGAGCAATTCACAAGACCAATGCCTGTCATCCTATCAAAAACTTTAGGAGGTCTTCACAAAGTGAAGGCATCATCATAAACTTATATATGTTTTGTGAACTCAGGCTCAGAAAAGTATCCATTTGGACTTAGTAAACCCACGGCCAGATAACAGAACAATTTAAAGGGAATGAAAGCTTTACTTAGGAAGGCTCCATATAGAAATAGAGGTTTGTGAGGCTTGGATGCTTTCTATCTACTTATGCAGAGATCATATTCACCCTGCCTTTCTGCAGGGAGTGAAGGCGAAATCTCTGAGGGTAAAATGAGTACCTATGACTAGTTGTATTAATCAGCTTGAACTCATGTTAGCTGTGTTAGCTGTTGCTTATATTTACTGCTACTCTCCTACCTATTACTTCCACTCCCTCCCCTTTCCTTTACACTTTCAATGGCCACAGGTCATTGCCTTCAAGGATTATCATGGGATAACAATTGGTCAGTTCCTTGACCCCAGTATATCTACCTGTACTGAAGTTGTTACACTTTAGACAGAATAGATATATTCTGAGACAATATTCTCACATGCCCTAAAGTTAATCCAAGTTCTTTTCTTGTATCTTCTACACCAATGGGCAGCCTTTAACCTGGATCTAAATCATCACAACAACTGTACTGACTCTCATGACAACTCCATGATAAAGAGCAAATAAATATTGCACATTAACCCCACACTTAATCATCGAGCCCAGAGGAGAATTACAAACACTATAAATGCTGCTGAGTGTACATTTTTAAATTCCTCATATATTGTGTTTACATAATATTTATATAATAAGATATATTCATATGTTTTAATAATTTATATCAATTTAGTGAATTTGGGGTATTATACATTCTATAATACAGATACCGTCTTTTTAAGTGCTAATGTGTCCCTATACACCTGTGGATTTAAGAAAACAGCTGTCAGGAAAAGGCACAGTTAAAAGAAAGAGTACTAGTAGTTTCACTGATACAGTCTGCAGCTTCCCTGAATTTACAAAATAATGTCAGCAGCATGAAGCCAACAGCATACGGCCAAACTCTCTAATACTGTTTTTCCTGCCTGGCACCACTCTCTACTCACTGCTATTCAGGATGTATTTGTGCAGACTTTTTGCATTTGTACACAGACATTCACATCACATACATCTGTCTGCATGCACAAACATATCAACACATGTAAAACACAGCCACACATTTAACAAATATGAAGTGATTTCCATTAAATGTAACCTCTGTTGAAAAGAGGTTGTATTCATGTGCTAACTGCCTGAACAAAATTCCAGAGTTTGAGTGGCTTAAGTAACAAAAATTTATTTGCTCTTAGTTCTGGAGGCCAGAAGTCCAAAATTAAGGCGTGGGTAGGCTGGATTTCTTCTGAGGCCTCTCCTTGGCTTGCAGATGACTGCCTCCTCACTCTGTCCTTTCCTCTGTGTGTGAGCACCCCTGGTAAATCGAAGCATGTTGTAGTTTCTTCTTATGATGACACAACTCAGATTACATGCGGGCCCCCAACAACAGCCTCATTTTAATTTGATCACCTTTCTAAAGACTGTATCTCCAAGTAAAGACACACTCTGTGGTGCTGGGAGGTCAGCACTTCAACCTAAGAGTTCCAGGGAGAAACAAGTCAGCCTGAAATAGAACTTAACCATAAATTAACTTTTAAAAATCTAGACTTATTATATTTGTATATTACATCTCTACCACCTTGCATATCCCTTGTATTAACTTTTAATGTTTATTTTAAAGGTACATTCATATTGTGCAACTCAGAACAAAACTTGAGACTTCAAAGCATGAGACCTATTGGTATAAGATACCATATATAAACTTATATGCAATGTATCTATATTATCTTCGAGTTTCAGAGGTTGGTCAAGGAAGAGACTTAGGAAATCCACACCTCATTTAACATGAGTGTCTTCGCCCACTATCCCAAAGTTCTGGTATACACCAAACACTAAACACCCCTTAACGTTTATTGATATTATTTGCTACTGTGAAAGAGAAGAGTACAAAGAGGGTTCTTAATCAGTAGTTTTTTCACAGCCACTTTCACCTCTTTGTTTCGTAGACTGTAAATGAGAGGATTCAACATGGGAGTTAATCCAGCATATACCAAAGCCATAAATTTATCTATTTCTTGTGAATTGACAGCTGAGGGCTTCAAGTACATGGAGAGAGCCGTCCCATAGAACAAAACCACCACAGTTAGGTGGGCTGCACACGTAGAAAAGGCTTTGCTTCGACCCTCCCCTGAGGTGATTCTTAGGATGTTGGTGAGGATAAACGCATAAGAGATACAAATTAGAAGCATCGGCATAGGAAGAAGAAGTATGCTGACCACCAGCATGATTAACTGCACTTTGGAAGTGTCTACACAAACCAGTTTCAAGACAGCCAGAATTTCACAAGTGAAATGATTGATAATGTTATTTCCACAGAGAGACAGATGCAGCACAGACATAGTTTCCACCAGGGACGTGAGGCAGCCTGTCACCCAGGAGCCAGCTGCAATCTGCACACAAACCCTCTTGTTCATGATGGTGGGGTACCTCAAGGGCTTGCAGATGGCCACATATCGGTCATATGCCATCATGGACAGGAGCACACACTCAGTGGAGCCCATGGCAAGAGAGAAATACATTTGAGAGGCACATCCTGAGAATGAGATGGTGTTTTTGCCTGACACAAAGTTGGCCAGCATTGGAGTGAGAGCAGAAGAGGTGTACCAGATGTCCAGAAAGGAGAGGTTGCTGAGGAAGAAATACATGGGTGTGTGTAGGCGGGAATCCAGGATGGTGATGCAGATCAGAACGATGTTACCCAACAAGGTGACCAGGTACATCAGCAAGCACAGAACAAATATGATGATTTCAACATTGGAGTAGTGAGTAAATCCCAGAAAAACAAAATTTGAAATGACTGTCAAGTTTGTCTTGACCATGTTATTCCTTCTTGTTCATCTGCCATAATGAATAAAAATATCATTGTGTGTACTTAAAAATTTAAACTCTACCAACTGATAAGGGGTTTTTGTTAGGGGTACTTTAAAAGAACCAATATTCTAGCAATACCATTTCATTATTCATCCATTCATTCAACATTTATTGAATATGCTACAAGTCACTGAAGATCCAAAGCTGCTCCCAGGCAACTCATAATAAAATATGAGTAGAGGAATAATGGTGGAGAGGGGAAGGGACTAGTCAAAGAACATGTATGAATGACCCATGGGCATGGACAACAGTGTGGAAATTGATTGTGGGAGTGAGGGGTTGGAAGGATAGAGGAGGGAAAAGTGGAAAAAGTTGGGACAACTGTAATATAATAACAATAAAAAATGATTAAAAAAGAGAAAAACAACAGGCCTAGAGAGAAAAAGAAAAGCAGAAGTTTAGTTGTTGAGCTAGGGAATATTTTAACAAGAATTTGCCTTCTTAATATCTTCTGTTATTTATAAAGATGAAGTGACAATTCAAAAAAAATGAGACACAGTCAAGTAAATAAACAATTATAGTAAAATTATATAAGTATGTCCCAAGGTACTAGGTAAATATGAAGTAAGAATCCTAACTCTATGTTGGGGGCAATTCACAGTAAGAGACTTTGAGAATTAGTTTAATAAAAAAAATGTATTGGACCTACTCAAGTTAAGGATCAGGGGAGGTTTTCCAGGCAAAGAAATTTTTTATAAAAGCTGCAAAAAGAAAATATTTGGTAGCACTTCATGAAACCGCAAATTATGTAATATAACAGATGGATACACCGCACCCTGAAAAATATAAGTAGAAGATACACAAGACTCCAGTCACTATAACACTAACTGGTTTCTGACTTTAAGAAGGCACTTTTTAACGTGGAATAATCATGAACTTGGGCTTTCTTAGAAAATCTCTTTCAAAGTAAGCATTTTATAATGCAAATCAAATTACTTGCAATAGATCTCACAATTCATCACACATGGCACTATGTTTAAAAACTACTGTCCTACAAGGTAGAGTTCAGATGAAATCAATCTCAAACACACAAGCCTCACATTTTCATCATTGCCTACTTCTCCAACCTCATCTCCCAAGACTCCATATTCTAGTTTCAAACAAATAGCCTGTGGTTCCTCATACTTACGATGCCATTTTATATATTTTGTGGCTTTTATTTACAGTTTGTTCACTTAGAGTTGTCCTTCATTCCCAGCTCCAATCTGTTTTTCTTGAATATTTTATCCAGCCATTAAAACTGTTTGCCATTGTCTCAAGTACACTTAGTTATGTGTACACACTTACGTTACCCAAATATATCACACTGACCCACAGTCAGATGTGCACAACCACTGACTCAAGAGCTTATTCCCCACAATACTACCAAAGTAATAATGCACATTTAATATTTTTCATGACACAATGCTGCCTTGAACATGGTAAGTTTTTGATACACGTTAAAATAAGTACATTTTCACTATAGTTCTGTGTCAACATAAAAGCCTGATTTCTCATCCTGTCATCTACATTTGAAATCTTATCTGCAACATTAAAAAAACAAGTTGACATAAGAAATATAGATCTTTAAATATTTGATACACAGTGATGGGGTCAAAACAATGACCACTTGACTCCCAGAGGAGGTAGAAATGTTTTCCAATCACTCTCTGTAGGCAGCTAGAGCACTAGCCTCAGAGTGTCAGGTTTGGGCTCTAAATCCAACCATGCTACTTACCAGTATACAAAATTAGGCAAATCACTTGACCTCTTTGCAACTTGGTTTTCTAACCTATACAACAAGGATGATCATTCCTATCTTTTGCAGATGTCAGAGATCTAGGTCAACTTCTTTTAAATTCTCCTCCCACTACAATTCCACGGCTTCTCTAAAATTTTCCAGAGTCACAAAGGGTTTAGGTTGCACAGTCTCCCTGCTTTCCAGAAACATAACTGCCTGTGTGCTCCTCCAGTCCTGGCCCACATTGATTCACAGGAAATAAATTTGCACCTCTTTAGTATCTAGTAAACTTTCAACCCCCAGTCCATAGGTGAATATGAACCCTTTAGTGATTATTTCCAGGAGGGTGAATGTTAGACATGTCTGGTCTCTGATGTCCACTGACCAGAGCTCAAGTTCATTTTTGTCAGCACACACCCTCTATTTCAACTGAGGGTTTCTCAGTGGGTCTTCACCCAGACAGCATCCAGTCCTCTTGCTCTACCTCTGGCTCCTATCTCCCCTCTCCTTTCACATCTCTCCACCACTCTCTTGTCCTCCCTTTCAGAAACAAAACAATGAAGGCTTCTCTCATGCATATTCAATCCCTACTCATTCCCTTACCCATATCTTACATGTTCTCCAGTCTCACCTATCCCACTTTTTATTTAGATATTTTTTATCTTTATCTGAAAATTCTTCTGATAACAGTGCTAAAATAATTTGATGGTTTCCTAAAAATTCCCCCTTTTTCAAATGTCAGGGCCAGAATAGACTCAGAGAATTTATAATCAAGCCCTCTCACTTTGAAGTTGGCAGATGGCTGGAGAAGTTTAATGCAATGTCTGAGGTGAAGGGCATAACAGTGCTAAAAATTCTATAACAATACTGGGTGCAGCAAAAGTAGGTTCACAGTGGTTCATGTGGAAAATGAAACAATAATTAACAAATAACAACACAAGGACAGACTGTATCGCACACTCACAACTGCAAACGCGCCTTTGCCCCACCCTGTGTATCATGACTTATTTCTTCAACTCAACATTTTCCTTCCAACTGGTACTTCTTTTTAAATAAACCTCTCTGTTCCGGTTTCCTGGCCTAACTGAGACCTGTCAGTAAGTTCTGCTAATCTGAGAATACAATCAGAGGTGCACAATGTCTGCTTCCATTTACCTTAGAATGTAGGATGAACATGTTCCTTTTGGCTAATGTACGTTTCAATGTTTAGGGTTAGTTGTCTTCAGCCAGTCCTTCTTATGAATCTGGTACAGTTCTCAAAAGAGTAAAAGATTCTGAATTTTAAATTACAATAATACCTTATGAAAACTATATTAAACTCAGTTGTGAAGAGGCATTTTTATTCAGAAGTTTGCAGTGAAAACCAACATAGATGGTCTTAGTTTGCAAAAAATCAATTCAACTCTTGCCTAATTCAAAGTCTCAACATGCATAGCTCCTATTAATAAAAATTTTAAAAATAACAAGAGAAATCATGACATGAAGATTTGTTCTGCTACAATCACCACCTATGATCTGCTCAAAAAAACTTCCAAAGGGTTACCCCTGGAACTAAGACTAATAAAGTCTCTTGTTGCCCTTAGGGGCCTTCCAATTCCCTTAACAGTTTTAATGTTTTGATTCAGAAACATAAAGTTAATACATTTCCTATTTCTCAAAGGTATGCTTCTCCAAGTTACATTAACTAATTCAGGACCCCAAAATATTAGGCAAATTTTTAAAATTATTTCAAGTCATTTGGCCCAGTAAAAGACCTGACTTGAAAAGCATTTGAGAGCAATGAGGAAAAAGGCTGGCAACTGTCACTGAACAGCAATCAAAAAGAAAAGAAAACAAAAGCATTTGAGTAAGCAGAACTAGAGAAAACTATTTGCCTATTCTATTCATTCTGTAGATTGCCCAGGAATCATACAGCAAATATTGCAATTAATAGCACTGTGGAAATGCCTTCCCATATGACCTTTGAGCTTATACAGTGATCTATTTATTTTGAGAAATATCTAAAAATAACTCAGTTATCTGAGTAATAGAAGATGAAACATCCTTAGTGAACTTTTAAATCACTGTGAAGTGAAGTGAAAGCATCGATCTATCACATAGTTTATTATTACCAAATGCCCCTTGAATAGACTGGGTCCCTAGTACAGTTTGTGATTTTATAAAGATTATGTAATAATCCCTGATGGTGTAGTCATTAGAATGAGTATTGGACTTAAAGTAAGAGCTATGGATTGAATTTCAGCTCAACTACTAAGTGATCATATACAGTTGTACATTAATTGCAGTAATGACCCCATTTACTCACTTCTTCCTAGACCAGCCTAGTCTGACTTTGGACCTAGGCACATGACCCAATTTGGTCACAGGGGTAGTAGCAAACAGGATGCATGCAGAGACTTGTATAGTTAGGCTAGCCCTATTTCCTCCATCTTTGCTATTGTTATGAGAATATGTCCAAGTTAGTCAACTGGAGGATGAAATGCACATTAAGCAGAATTGAATTTCCCCAGTCCCCACAGTTGAGCCAGGTCTCAGTCAATGCTCAACAAATTAGTGGGTGTCAAAACAAGCCAACTCACAGCTGATTTAAGATGCAAAGATAATCTAGTTAAGATCACTTGGCTCCAGTCCAGATAAACTATTATCTCATAGATTTTAATAAATATTTATGTTGGTATGACATTGAGATTTTATGATTGTTTATTATGTTGCATCATCGTAGCAATGTAACACTGATGTAGCAAGAAGTGCTTTCATTACCTATTCAACATTAACTCACTTTGGACACTTACCCTTCTTAAAAGAATCATGATTGCATTCATTTTTTTGTCCTGTTTTTATCCATAGAAGGTCCTGATTAGCTCAAGCCTCTGACCTTACTTTCTAGAAATCTTACATTTTATCTTTAATATTGACATATAGAATCCATCTGGAATTAATTTTTGTGCATGTATGAAACAAAGGTCAGGAGTTATTTTTTACTATCTGGGTACTATTTGACTCAGCATAACTTAGTGAAAAGATCCCTTCATGACTACATTGTAGTGTTACTTTTCACATAAACTAATTGACTATTTTTGTATGGATCTGTTTTGGGCCTCTTGTTCTGTTCTGCTGGTATATTTTTCTAAATTTGCACTAGTACTACAACATATTGTTAACTGTAGCTCTATAATAAGTCTTGATTTCTGGTCCTCTTAATTTTTTATTCTTTATGGATGGTTGGCT